AATGACAGACACGATATTCTAATTCAGTTAGATACAACAACATACAACATAACAATACAGCATATTACTATCAATAACATTATAATATAGCACATCACAACACACAACCACACGGACACAACACACAACATAACAATACGGCATATTACAATGACAGACACGATATTCTAATTCAGTTAGATACAACAACACACAACATAACAATACGGCATATTACAATGACAGACACGATATTCTAATTCAGTTAGATACAACAACACACAACATAACAATACGGCATATTACAATGACAGACACGATATTCTAATTCAGTTAGATACAACAACACACAACATAACAATACGGCATATTACAATGACAGACACGATATTCTAATTCAGTTAGATACAACAACACACAACATAACAATACGGCATATTACAATGACAGACACGATATTCTAATTCAGTTAGATACAACAACACACAACATAACAATACGGCATATTACAATGACAGACACGATATTCTAATTCAGTTAGATACAACAACACACAACATAACAATACGGCATATTACAATGACAGACACGATATTCTAATTCAGTTAGATACAACAACACACAACATAACAATACGGCATATTACAATGACAGACACGATATTCTAATTCAGTTAGATACAACAACACACAACATAACAATACGGCATATTACAATGACAGACACGATATTCTAATTCAGTTAGATACAACAACACACAACATAACAATACGGCATATTACAATGACAGACACGATATTCTAATTCAGTTAGATACAACAACACACAACATAACAATACGGCATATTACAATGACAGACACGATATTCTAATTCAGTTAGATACAACAACACACAACATAACAATACGGCATATTACAATGACAGACACGATATTCTAATTCAGTTAGATACAACAACACACAACATAACAATACGGCATATTACAATGACAGACACGATATTCTAATTCAGTTAGATACAACAACACACAACATAACAATACGGCATATTACAATGACAGACACGATATTCTAATTCAGTTAGATACAACAACACACAACATAACAATACGGCATATTACAATGACAGACACGATATTCTAATTCAGTTAGATACAACAACACACAACATAACAATACGGCATATTACAATGACAGACACGATATTCTAATTCAGTTAGATACAACAACACACAACATAACAATACGGCATATTACAATGACAGACACGATATTCTAATTCAGTTAGATACAACAACACACAACATAACAATACGGCATATTACAATGACAGACACGATATTCTAATTCAGTTAGATACAACAACACACAACATAACAATACGGCATATTACAATGACAGACACGATATTCTAATTCAGTTAGATACAACAACACACAACATAACAATACGGCATATTACAATGACAGACACGATATTCTAATTCAGTTAGATACAACAACACACAACATAACAATACGGCATATTACAATGACAGACACGATATTCTAATTCAGTTAGATACAACAACACACAACATAACAATACGGCATATTACAATGACAGACACGATATTCTAATTCAGTTAGATACAACAACACACAACATAACAATACGGCATATTACAATGACAGACACGATATTCTAATTCAGTTAGATACAACAACACACAACATAACAATACGGCATATTACAATGACAGACACGATATTCTAATTCAGTTAGATACAACAACACACAACATAACAATACGGCATATTACAATGACAGACACGATATTCTAATTCAGTTAGATACAACAACACACAACATAACAATACGGCATATTACAATGACAGACACGATATTCTAATTCAGTTAGATACAACAACACACAACATAACAATACGGCATATTACAATGACAGACACGATATTCTAATTCAGTTAGATACAACAACACACAACATAACAATACGGCATATTACAATGACAGACACGATATTCTAATTCAGTTAGATACAACAACACACAACATAACAATACGGCATATTACAATGACAGACACGATATTCTAATTCAGTTAGATACAACAACACACAACATAACAATACGGCATATTACAATGACAGACACGATATTCTAATTCAGTTAGATACAACAACACACAACATAACAATACGGCATATTACAATGACAGACACGATATTCTAATTCAGTTAGATACAACAACACACAACATAACAATACGGCATATTACAATGACAGACACGATATTCTAATTCAGTTAGATACAACAACACACAACATAACAATACGGCATATTACAATGACAGACACGATATTCTAATTCAGTTAGATACAACAACACACAACATAACAATACAGCATATTACAATAACAGACACGATATTCTAATTCAGTAAGATACAACAACACACAACATAACAATACAGCATATTACTATCAATTACATTATAATATAGCACATCACAACACACAACCACACGGACACAACACACAACCACACGGACACAACACACAACTACACGGACACAACACACAACCACACTGACACAACACACAACCACACGGACACAACACACATCCACACGGACACAACACACACGGACACAACACACAACCACACGGACACAACACACAACCACACGGACACAGCACACAACCACACGGACACAACACACAACCACACGGACACAACACACACGGACACAACACACAACCACACGGACGCAACACACACAAACACACGGACACAGGCGATAACTTACATTTATGATAACGGTTAGTTAAAAAAGATATCGATTAAAAATATTGGGATCATATTATATACTAAATTGTATGTGTTGTTATTTGGAAATTGTGCATTTATGTTCTGATGCTAAGCTAAGTGTTATGGTAATACAGTTTGTATTTATGTTCTGATGCTAAGCTAAGTGTTATGGTAATACAGTTTTTATTTATGTTCTGATGCTAAGCTAAGGTTTATGGTAATACAGTTTGTATTTCAGTTTTGTTATTACTTGGAACTTTGTAAGTGATTATTATATTAACGTTTGCACACACATATACCTATTTATATAATATAGAGAGTGAGTTCCGTAATTGTAAACTGTTTTAACTCGGACAACTGCTAACAAACGGGAGGTCAAGTGCATTATAATCCTAAATCCCAATTAAAACAAAGGCCAATTAAATATATGCAAAATGTTTTAAAAGATGAAACAGTTATGGATCCATTATATGAAGTAAAACATATATGAATAATGTGGATAAGTTAGTATATTGTTAAGATTTTGCAGAAAGCAAATAATGTTTGTCTTCAAATTGGTTGTATTTAAATGTTTAAGTAGAACAAATGGACCAATAGTGCACTATTTATAGAGAATGTAATAAGTTTTTTATTTTATAGTTTAACAAAATAGCATAAAACGCTCCTATTCTGACGTGAATTTAATGTCTCTTACGGTGGTGCAGTTGGACATTTTAAAAATGTTTGTTTTTATTGATTGTTTCGTGAATACGTTTCGAGGTTTTAGCGTGTGTGTATAGGACGGGTAGGGTAAGCATGGTTGATATTGAGTTGTATAGAGCACTACATCAGTCAGAACTATACCGGGAACGTTTCCAACCAGATCAAGTTTCATTCCAAGTTGATAAAGTAATACTTTGGTCATTTTCCAATTTGAAATATGTATACTCGACTAATGATGTACATGTTCTTGCCTGATCAACAATCTTACCCAAACACTCAGAAATATCAAGAAGTTTTAATCTGTAATTTAAATTTTATATAGTACATATAAGAAAGTATANCCCCCCTTCATATCCCTTTTATCCATCCCTTCCTCCACAGCCAACAAAAACATCCCCACCATCGCTACAACTTCTTTAACCTTATTTCAGTTTTCTCTTCAAAATTATAAATATGGATATAAAACATATAAATCTATTAAATATAATGGAAAATTTTAGTAGTTTTAGAATTTACCAAGTCTAAAACTTGATAATATTTAGCATTTTATGATCAGGATTATATCTACTTAAACCAAGCCTTCTTTTTACAGTTAAATAGGGAACATTGTACATGTAATAACTAATGCAGGTTCTTCGCCGATCTATAGCTAGGACTCATTATGTATCACAATATAGAAATATTTTGCTTTAGAGATGATTAAAACATTATTTCATATTTCAGTTTTATCTATAAATTTATGATAGCTAGTTATACTTTTCCTGTTTATATAAATCTATAACTTGCAGATTTTCAGAAATAAAATCATCCAGCTGTTCCTTTTCTGTATAAAATGGCGAATTTTCGCGAATTGCCTGAACTTGTAGGAGGTGTATAATTAACTGCCGATATGTATCACGCATCTCAAACGTTATAATAACATTTTGACGTAAATAAATTTTGTCGTGAAAAACATTCACTACCGACAGAGTTATTCCCCTTGCTAAGACAAGTGAAGAACAATGGTGACCCTTGTTTTGTTTTCGACAGCTTGACGTTACCGGTAGTAGCGAGGTGTCCAAACCGTACAAACCGCGCCAGAAACGCGGTCCCGGTTCTGACGGGTCGACCGAGAGCTCAGGTAAGTCAATCATCCACACCTGTAATCAGCATTCCTTCATGTACCTTTTACACCTGTGTGTTCTACAGGTGTTTACAGACCGAGTTTTGTTCCTCAAATGTACCACCAGACAAAATTTAAGCATATTTTCATGAGGCTATAGCATACATGAAAACGAAATTGAAGAAAGGTAAGTTAGAATTATTCACTTTTAATTGATAAAATGTATCTCCGTATCTCTTGTGTATCACTAATCTGTTACACTCTAAATAGAACGGTCCCTCCAACACTTTTTCATTCATAAATTTAATAGATTATCGTTGATATATATTTAAATATTTACTATCTTTAAATGTCTGTATATGTGTTTTATCGTTAAGGATTTGTAAAGATGTTTTTTTATTGAAGTGCGCTATCAATAATCGCCTACACAAGTACTGTAGAACACCACCCTATAACCGATGACAGTTTTTATTGAGGTGGATTAAAGCCAATTTATAATGAACCACTCAGACGCATTGGGCCATGCAATTTAATTGGCTTTGTTAATGAACTTATCTAACATGTTTGATTTTAATCACTTGACTTATAATTAAAACACAATAGAAACCCGCTAGAACAGGTGATAGGTGATACGGCTAGCTCCGGGTAGGTAATACATTCTGATTGACACTGTATTATCTGTTGTCAAATGTCAAAATAGCGACAGCTTTATTAAAATCTAATTAAATGTCCCTTTCAGGAATTTTAAGAATATGACCTATGGATAAAAACAAAGATTTTTCATTTTGTTTATGACACACAAACAAAGTTAAAGTTAACACGTAATATTAGACCAAAAAAGACGATAAGATATAAATTTGTAATCATTTCTTATTAAATTAAGTTGAATAATCCTCACGTCTGTTTCCAACAGATTACGAGCAATTAATTCAAAACAAAATAATGTATTAGATACAAAATGGCGACCGTTTCCTTCAGCTGAGTGTTTAAGTACTCCCGTATAAATCTATAAAAATGCGTCTGAAAATGATCTACGAAAGAGTTGAAGATGACGGTTACCAGGACAGACTAACCGATACAGGTATTGCATTACAGTTTATCAGCAGGTTTAGATAACCGATAATCATTTTTTGTCAAATTTACACCATTATAATTGGTGTTGTTCCTTTGGAATGTGATTTACGTGGATATGTATATATAGGTGACGTTTTATTTATGTCTGTGAATAATACAGTGTGTCGTGAAGTTTTTAAATCACAATTAATAGCGTGTTATTGAACAATCTAAAATGAAAAATTGCATCACAGTTCCATATTACTTTATCATACGCACAATTGATTCGTAATTTTAACACGTCCAAATGGAAAATAAATGCTAACTTTATGAAAAACAGCTTAGAAATTCCGCAGTCAGGATATTGGACCCGACCGTCGGAGTTCAGGCCCGTGTGTTGAATCAGTTCAAACATAATGGTTTGTTAACGAGCTGTAGCGTTTACCTCGAATTTACATTTTTTGTAATTGACCGAGTATTGACATTTGACCAGTGTCGGCGTGAGGCGGTAAAGAGTCCAAAGAACTTGTAAATAATTTCCATTTTATTTGAAAAATATTTCGTGACTAAACTACACAAGAGATACTTTATTAAAACAGGGATAATAACTTTTGGGATATCATGATAAATAAATAATTAGGGATGGAAATAGATAAAAATATTACCTATATTAGCATGGCCTTTCAGTGACATGGAATCTGTAATACAGCAATTCAATACACATTATTTGTCCACCGCTTTCAGTGTGGTATGATAAAACATCTATTAACTATATATTCTTTAGTTAAATTGGGTTTAAACATTCGCCTGCCATAGTCACACTATCGTATATTCAAAACATATTTCGCCTGTATTTGAAACCAGGAGTAACCTGAATGAAACCCGATCACAATCTCGGGGTATGTAAATAAAGTAACGGAATGTAAAAAACTATCAGTTCCCATTAATATCTATGGTACGATACGAAGGTGAGGTATAACACTGGAGCACAGCGGCTTGTAGGAACGACTTCTAGGACAGATGTTTACCACAGATGGTAGGTAACATTATTATACCTGTATATTGATACACCCTTTATTTAATTTTGGACAGAACTTACTTTTGCAGTTGTGCTTAGATATATGACACACATTTTACTTTACATTTGCTCATCATGTTTGCTCGTGCAATTGACTACGACATAACTGTAGTGGCCTTAAGATTATTTATTATGCGCAGGTATTTGATTACCTCATACTTGCCAATATGCAGATGGCAATGAAGATGCATATCAATATCATTATTTTTGTGTGTTCACAATTCTAAAGATTGGTTAATGCTCTTGTGAATTTCGGTATTTAGCCAATCCCTGACCTCGATACCTCGTTGGAGAAATGCATATCTTCGATTCCAAACAAATATCAGTAATATGAGGGAAATGCTTGGTATACATACATTCATAAAATAAACAAATGGGGTGTGAATCTACAATGGAATTAAAGGACAATTTTACATCTGCATATTTCCCCTTCTATTCCTCATCCCACCTCCCCATCCCCTCGTTCTTTTCTTCTTCCTCTTCTTCTTTCTTCTTCTTCTTCTTCTTCTTCTTCTTCTTCTTCTTCTTCTTCTGAATAACAAGAACGAGAAAATGTTTAAACTTTTGCCTTTTGCAATCAAAATTATTTATCCACACACATGTAGACTTTTGTATCATATTATCGGGAATGCGCCTAGCATGTTGAAAGAACTTGTGTCCAATCTCTTTGATTACTGTAATAAAAAAAAATACGTTTGAATGCAAGGTGTGCAATTGTGAATATAGACTTTTATTAGATAGCTGTACATATGGAGAAGTTATACATATGTGTTACTACTGTAAGTCTTGAATAATATGATTAAATATTTGGAAAGTGAATTTCTGCTAAAGTCTTACGTGTAATTGTCGAACGTTTATGCAGATATGTATTCAGTTAAGCAAAATATAGTCAAGTCAAGTTAAGTCAACATTGTTTATTTCAGTGTCATATATCTAAATTACATTGGTACACTTTAAAAATGCACAGTTACAATGACATTAAACATGAGTTACATAGCAGGGATTAGTCATCTTATAGAAGTCATTGTTAAAACAGTATTGCTATTTGATATATTTGACCAAAATTATAATAACACTGTTTTCGTTACGATTTACAATATCAACACAAATATATACTATGTGTATCGAAACATGTAGCATATTAATATTAACTTTCATGTGTATACATGGGTAGAGATCGTTCACTTATATGTATGTACTTATAAACACACTTATACAATGTTTACTTAGTTACAAGTTGTAACGCAAACATTAGATTGTCCCACATCCACGTTCTGATATATATATATATTACAAAATACATACCTCTGTTATGGCAAATTTTCTATTGATTGTTTCCGACTTCTGTTTTCGTTTCCCAGTATTTCTTACACTTTATCTTTGATCCTTTGTTGTGAATTTCATTTCATTCTGTGTCAGTTTGATATAAATCTTGTCTTATCTTTTCCATTTTGCTTTGCAATTGATTAATATCCCTATCCGTGTGCAATGTTAGGCTTTCCTGCTCCGCGAACACTGTAATGATATATGTGAAACAGAAAAGACCCTATGCACCCATGTGGGGCCATATGCACTCTGTAGATAACACTGTACCGAATCAAAGATAGACCTATGTGTTTTTAAGTTAGGAGACCGCCTAGTCTAACGAATTCTAGTATACAACTGTTTTGACTGACCAGTCTGATATCTAAATACACGAGATAAATATCCCGCAGATGAAATCTGGATATAACTAAAAATTGATCTATTTTTAGTCGTATACTAGATGGTCGTTTAAATAACAAGTTAAATTTCGTGATTTTGAACATAAATGCCTGCGCATTTACACTTTATTAAACAGTTGATATGATAAATCCACTTGTGCTGGCTAAATATTTTATTTTTTGAAGGTGGTACTAACGAGATGACACTTCAAATAGGAACTGCATGTGGTTAAATGTTTCGGTATTACGTTTTGGCCATAACCTGGAACAAAGTTTATAAATGAGAAAAATGGTTTTGTAATTCAAATAAAAGGGTCACTTATTTGGATGTTTTTATATATCCCTTTCAGTTCGATCATCAATTCATAAACGGTTGTAAGTTTAACTCGAATATCACCAACGTTACTTTTCGCTTCACGCAGCTAAAGTTAGCTACGTTTCAGTGACATGCTGTTATGCACTTCCTGTGACCACCGTCAGACGTATATTCATTCCATCAGCAATTCATACAAATATCTATTCAAAAACGATATTCAATACTGAATTTCCAATCTTATTGAAATGTAATACCAACCTCTAAGTATTAAACATGCAATACACATCACACTTTATTTCATTAATGTTTATAACACAGCCGTTTATGCTATCATTGTGATAATGTCATACTTTTCGATTTTATCAATGATATGGTCGTCATTTAAAAACGAAAAGTAATTCTTATGATGATCTGGTAATTCTTATAAAATCATAAAAGTGCTTTATGAAATAAGCTTACGGCCTTTTATTGATTTTCACGCATCGCATAGCATATACGTGTAAATAGTAATTATTTTATAATGACAGGACACTAACTTAAAAAAGAGACAATTGTCTTAAAAGTATATGAATATGTGTAAAACATTAATATCTCACAGTTGTTATACTAAGAATGTATATGTAAATAATCAACATCAGACTAAACTTGTTATAGAGTTTATCTAGTAAATGGGTCTGAAATACGTGTTCTTGTATACTTACCGGATAAGCGGTACATAGGGGTTCTGTACAGTAATGGCAGGCTTGACACTGGACGACATCGTCTGAAGACAGGAATTATATGTAAAGCTTTATTCATTGTCTTGAATAACTCTCAAATATTGTCGATAATTCTAAATTAAACATACCATTTCTTGAAACTTAAAATTCGTTATCAACATATTTTTAATTGTAAACAAACGACAATTATCCTGGCTAAATTCACGAAGGGTATAGAGACCTCTTCACGTCGTTATTTTAGGCTCTTTGCGCAGACGTCATGTACGCACCACCCGTTATATAATTGTCTTGTAACCTATCTTATAATGCTGATTTGTATGTCCTTTTTGATCGACTATATCTATAACTATATTCTGTAGAAATACTATCATTCATGTGTTGTAAATCGCCTTATAATATTTTGAAAAATCATAAAGGGCGCTATATAAATTATGTATTATTATTATAAATAACAATATGATTAGACGGTAGTCTGTCCTCATAGGAAGTACAAATTTGTCACGTGCGTCGTGATGACAAGCAACAAAATATGTGACAAGATTATTAGAATACCATTTATATATATATGTTCAAAATACTTTCCTAGATTAGAAAGGAGACTTTATCACAGGTCCCACATGTGGCGCAGTAATTGCCTCTCCTTGAGGATGATTTAGTATCTCTTCCATTTCTTTATCAGCTGTAAAACGAAGAAATAGCAACCTTGTTAAAAAATGTTTACTTTGTTTGACATTTTGCATCGACAAACTTAATTTAAAATAGGTGCTTCCCTCTCCGTGTTTATAATAATTGTTATACATAACAAATTGATTGGCACTGCTAGTAGTCTATTAGTCCCGAAGGTTAGTTGGTCGTATTCTTGTGGGTGGAATTTTTTCTGGCACGCTTTACATTAACCTTAGCTTAAGAAGAAACATCTGTTGTAGAGAACCATTTTATTTTTCCATTTTCACTGAATTCTACAAATGGTTTTTACCACTTAAGATATGTGTTTGTTTCTTTTTCACCTGTCACGATATGATGTTATGGTGTAAGAAGAGGTCAGCAACATCTACGATTTCTCCCACTGAATAATGCGGTTCTATACATTTCAATTGGAAGATTATCGCATGGTTAACCCTACCTCAATCTTATCTTTATTTAGTATTAATATGTTTTCTCCGGAGTCATGTCAATTTCTTCCACATCGACTTCATGTCCGACCTTCTAATCTTATTACTTATTTATTTCTGTATGTCAAATTAAAATTGCGGATTATTAAAATGAGCTGACCGCACTTATTTTTATGTGAAATAACTTTCTAATACATGTCAGTAGGCCTTGTTAAAGATAGGGTTTGTACAGGATTTCTGACTAAATACGAGACAGTTAAGTTAGGGCAATTATATTTTCGCAGCTTTTCACACTAGTTTTACAATTTTACTTAGGATCGCAGTGTGTATCAGCACATTTACGGACGTTATCAGATTTGAGATCAATTATAACACTTAACTTTGGTAGCACCTGAATGAAAAACCAACTTAGTTCGATGTTCAGGAGGATTGAAGCTGATGTCCTAATGTGTTGACTGTAATCAAACAATGAGATAGGTAATACCCACCGTGTGGACGAAATGGCTATATGGTGTAAAAGTTTGATTGACGATAAGGTAGGATTACTTGATAGTCTGTTAATATACTCTGTCGTACCCCCTCGGGTGTATACGCGTGCCTGTGTCGCTCGCCTCCCTGTCCGCCTATTTAAATACCCACACCTTCTTATCCTTCCCTATACTAGGGAAAGTCAACGGTAGTATATAGGCTCTATTGAACATCTCAGAAATGAAGCAAAAATCAACACAGCCAGGTAAGGTTCATAGTGCTTTAGTTTTGCGTTAAAGGAAATGTGTATTTTACGCGGTAGTGCTATTTTAGTTGTTAATGTTATTGGTGTCATATTTTATCGATAATTATATCATATAAATAATTTAGCAGCAATACTTTGTGCGGTAACCTAAGTACATCAATCGTTTACTTTTTTAAGCAGTGATATCTTTAAGCACTTGCAGCAAATTTTCATTTCGATGTTAAGTGTATTATTCTCTGGTTTGCTTCCTTACCACTGTCTGACTATGTAGCTACACAGGTAACATTATTAACAAGGTAATCACCATTCTGTCAACAGTTGATAGGTTACACAGTACAATTTCATTAAGTACTATGTATTAATACAATAATAGAATGTTGTCTATGAATTTATGTAAATTAAACAGGCTCATTAGAGTGTTTATAGTAGTCAGAGGTGCGTATGACGTGCTAGGCTGACCAAAAGCCAGAGATGTTATGCTTTGAAAACGCGAAGAGAGACTAGGTCGTGTAGACTGGTATTATACGGAAATATTTTGTGTTAAGCAAGGAGATGAGATGTATTTGAAATTTCCAAGTTTGAGATGTGTCAGGAAGCCATAACTCAGTATGAAACAAAAGGAAAAAGTGTAGTGAATATGAATTTTATGTACGTGTACTCCAATGAGTAAAGTTGTAAATTTCAGTTCAAAATATAAATAAGAAAGGAAAATATTGAGAAAACAAAACAGTTTTCACTTGCAATAACCTAACTGATCCCCCTGACTTCATCCTTTATTTTATATAAACAACTCTAAGTGACGATTGAATCTGTCATTTTTATTTTTTTTATTTATGTATGCCTGTTTTATTTACACATGTTTCAAAAACAGAAATGGTATTATTTTGGTTATTTTAGCTCATTTTAATAAACCGTAAACTATATTAGTGATTTATCCCTAAACTCCACTTTCGGTCAAATTTTTGTCTTAGTTTTGTGCAATGTAATACAATAGGACATATTTGAACAAATTTAGGAGTTAAAAATCTAGATAAACCGGGATTCAAACAGGGCCTTATTGACACTCATCCTTTTAAATATTAAGCAAAAATACGAATTAAGGAAACATCCACTTACAAATATAGTTAGTCGATGCAGAATGCCAAACAGATTGTTTACTGCACCAGATGACCAGAGTTCTGAAATGTATGCAGAAACACGGCAAATGGGGAAAGGTGCCTTTATGACCCTTCCCTTACCATTTAGAACATTTCGCTTAAACATTTAAACCGTTTCCATAATCAATCGAAGCTAAAAAAATAAACTATTAAGGAAAGAACATATCATAATTATAACTAAGCAGAAAGTCCTCTCGTACATCAGAGACGATAAGAGGAACACGGTTAATGTTGTTAGTCCCTGTATATAGACAGAGAAAGACCTGTAACGACAAGTCAACCGTAGATGGGAGATAATAGCAGGAATTTTCTGGACAAAAAATCAATTATCTTTTTGTTTTATTCCATGTCTCCCTTTAAGCATAAATAACTTATATTTGGCGGTATATTTATTTCCGCGATAAATAACCAAGAGTGACGATAAAATAAATAAAAATTATTTAGTAACAATTTAACAAATAAGACAGCATATGACCTTATAGGATTAATCGCGAAAATCTGTATTCGCAAATATTAACTAAGTTACAACATATTTTCGAATAATTGTTTTGTTTTTTGTTTGTTTGTTTGATGGATTTGTTTTTCATTTTCGTTCTTGGGGAGGATCTGTTATATGCCATATGTACCTCTTAACCTTGTTTCGTTCGTTTAATATCGAAATTGTCATATTCAGTTGTGATATTTCACTTTGCAAAATGATTTTGAATGCTGTCAGTAATATGAATTATATTCATTGTATATTGTGTTGTATGCTTAAGTTTATTTCATTCTGATACTTCATTTTAATTATACATAACTGTCGAAGACCACGATACAGTATTGATCAGATCATGTTATGTAAAAAGCAATACCACAGAAACAAATGTAGACGTTTCATCAGAAATGTCTGTTGTTATGTCTAACAACGACAAAGTTCTCAACGACCTTAAATTAGATAAGAAGTAAATAGACGCGGTTAAGTAATCTCTTGATTAAAAGTTGCTCCGGGTAAAACAATATTATGTAATTCGTTATCATTCTAAGATGCTACATTGTCTTTAGATACGCTTTAAAGAACATCAGTGTTCAACTATTGTCAAACTATATAGACATCATAGCTAACAGGATGTGATATACTCTTCATACATTGATCCGCTGGAATAAAAATATCGAAAGACCAGAACAATACTTGCCTTGTATAATGAATTTTTTTTTTTTTGTGTTACAGAGAAGATGTCCTGGGTGACGTATGGAAGTCCTTTATGGCGCAAGGATAAGGTTCCGACCACCATTAAACCACTTCCGGCAATCAACGTTCAGAAAAAGCTTGAAAAAGGATTTATAAACGACGCCGTCAGTACTTTCATGTTCCACACAGCACGGAAACGGTCGATAATCCCACCGTACAATGCCGAACAGGATAAATTTGCGCAGGCGTACTTCCAGTCCCCCATCGCTAAGGCCGTCCTCGAACGATCTATGGAAAGAGTGCTGACTGTCAGGGTAAATTTTCACACCTTCTTGTTACTTAAAACAGAATTTCTGAACTATGAATACAATATAATCGTTAAAATACGACTATAAATAGTTTGGGGTTTCTTTGACGACTGAATGCATACAAAATCAAAAATCTTTTAACTAAACTTTTAGAGAAAAGATTCTTTAATTTTCAATACTTCCCCAAAACTATTATGATGATGCTTTCTTGTACATTTTTTTATTATGGTTGCATTGCAAAAGTTTATAAACTAGAAAGAAAATGCATTTCAGTTAATTTTGAAATGTTTTTACTAAGTGTTTGTCTTCTGGAAACTTTAAAGCACGTGCTTGAACGACACAAAATATCAGAGGAGAAGGTATAGGCACATACCTCTTTCGGAGAAACGCAATGTTTGTTCAAGACTGTTCACTATGGTAGTCAAAAAATAAACGAAAACTTCTAAAAATGGTCTAGATAATCAAATTTCATAACTATATGTGCAAATTTCAACTGGTTACCATGGCAACTTAAATTAAAAACATAAATAGATATTTTCCTTATAGTATTGGGGAAGTAATAAAAGAAAAGCCGTTTGAAGACTCTATTATCATTTTTACATTTTGATGTATTTTGGATCCAGAAAAGGCCCAAACATTCCTTAGTGGATTATACAGATGATTTCAATTTATCTAACATAAACCCCCGTTATAACGTCCAGCATAATAATGTCTCTCGTTTTAATTTTTCTTATCTTCTATCCCTATCAAGTTTTGAATTATCCCGTTGTCATTTTTTTATATGACTGTTTCGATATGCTGCTAACCTCTGTATAATGTCACGTACTCTTAGGACAATTTGTGGAATTCTTACGATGCTTTATTATGTTACTATATGGTATCAATTGTCATTGCGCACTTAACACTACTGCTTATATTATTACTTTATCATCAATGAAATAAGACATGTTTACCATTAGTGATATTGGATTACAATTATTAATGATTAGGTAAAGGTTGATCGTGAGAGGACCTCATACAAGTAATGTGTTAATATGTTTAACAGCTTTCATTATAATAATTATAAAATACAACATTTGATACAGAGCCCTATCTAGCTAATATTAGCCACTCTAAAGCGCTTTACAGTACATACATATACAATTAATACAATTAGCATATGCATTAATCAATGTAATTTTGAGGAATTTGCAAGAGCTGCCTTATCAGGCGCTAACTACTAGTCCTATGTCACCTGGCGAATATCTCCCTATGTGTGTATGCCTGCGTGTGTGCTGGAGACGTACTGTGTTCTGTTTGTAGTTTGCAGTATAACAAACGCTTAAGTCGTTATTACTTTTATCTGTCTTTCCAGTCTTTAAAACGAAACGTATTTAAAAAAACAATACTTTACGACTAAGGATGCCATAGAGTTTGTATCGTTATACTGACACCATTTGCAAAGAAAATGATTTCATCGTTATAATTGGGTTGCCCATCGATCGAGGGATGCGTATAGATAAACAATCACGTAATTAAGGAAGGTGGATCATGAAATATGAAAACCATTGGGGGGGTTTTAAAAAACATTTCTTCAGATGTATTGATAAAAAATCTAAGAATATTTTCCGATCCCTCAGAAATTCTATATATGTTACAATATTGAAGAAGTATTTTTAAATATTGAACAAACTACTGTTGAAACTAAATTAATCGATTGACACTAAATCGCAGCTGAACTGTATATATTAACGCATGACAATAAACTAATGTTCTAAGTGCGTTTTATACACTAGGCATTTAGTTTGGTGCCAACATATGGTTGGAGAACGATTGATAAATCACATTTTGGCACGTGCAATTCTTTTATAAATATCTCGATATATTCAAGTTTGATTTTATCAAACCAAACATGTCTATCTCTCAGACGTTTATTTGATTTCAAAAGCATTTAATGTCTAAACATATTGGTTGTTTCTCTGTTCTATAATCCCTGTCGTATCCGCTGTCTGTTTGATGTGTGTCCTAGCGGTGCCATACTTAACATGTAACGCTCTGGAGGGTTCTCCATATTTATATCGCTGTACTTATCTTATCTAAATACTTAACTAAACTATTAGGAACGACAAAATGATAGCTGTTCATAGGTGTTGTTTAATGCAGGTTTGACTTTCTGAAATGCGATTTCGTTTTTGTCTTTTTGTTATCAAAGCGCTAATGACACTGAATACAACTTATATGTAATGCTTTCATTCCATGTTTTCCCAATCCAAAAACACTTTCTTGGTTAACGTTATGCAAATTATCGATGAAAAAATAAAATATGAGAGAATGAACTCTATTATTGTCAATTTAAGATATACATTGCTTAAACTGATTTTTGTCTAAGATATGTATACACGCAAAGCTGAGGGTTCGGCTAAAGCAAAGGTTCATAGTTAGTGGGTCATATGTTATCGAATCAGAGTATTGTACACATGTCAGTTACAAGCTTGGATATTAGTCCGTATGACTGTTTTGGGCGGTCTGGTTATCTAAGTGTAATCTTATAATAACAGTAATGTGCGTTTTATAATCAAGAGTGTAGATGTTAATTTCTGGAATTAGACATTATCTTTACAACCTTACGCGGTGTAGCATCCCTACTATGACCGATATGCTATTACCCACAACTCCGACCACTTCTATGTGCATGAGCGACAGTCAATTCAGAGAAGACTGAGGTGTGAAATTCATAAACTGTATAATTTCTTTAATCGTGGATCCCCCCCCCCCCCCCCCCCCCCCCCCCCCTATGTTTACGATTAAGCATATATAAGTCGCAGAATTAGATACCAGAAATAGTTCTTGATGATAGGGCTTGTTAAGATTTTGGTTTCCTCGAAACAATTTTTTCCGTGATCTTAGTCCTGGAAATTAAGGAAGAACGCATGACCTTGCATATTGACAGTAGGGGGCGCTCACACTATGAAGCGGTGTCAAGAGAATTACGGGACCAGCTTGGAATCCCCACCTTATGGACATTATCTTATTAGGGATATAGTTGTTTGTTTATACGTGTTTGACAAAGACTGGTAGTGTAATCAACTAGTCTTGCGTTATCTATTTCATCACGGCAAGACTTAATCAGGTCGAGTTATGACACAATAAATCAAGGTTGTCATAACACGGCGTTTGACTTAGGCCTACAATATAGACAAGTTGTCAGGTGAGAAGATTCACCACCTTCTACCTGTGATTAATGATAGAAACATCGAAGTTAAGACCTCTCAAAGGATGTACGCAAAAACTCGAGTGCACAGATAGGGGTTCTCCGTTTACAAATATTTACAGATATTTTCCATTAAGATACCATATCGACCAAACCACGGTGTTTTGTTAACACCATTTTCGCTGGACATACACGTAGTATTCATTGCCTTTGATCAATGTACCAGGGGTCCCTTTAAAAAGTGTGACACAAATTCCTAAATATACTTATACTTATAATTAACTATTCGCTCGAACATATTTTGTAGGCATTTTCTTCTACAATTTATCACAAACAATCTTGGGAAACGTTATTTCAATTGAAATAATTCCCTAAATTTCTGTTGATTTTCACTATAGGACATTTAATGATAATGCATATTTGTAATGTTCACTTTAGTTGGTTACACAAGAACGCCTCATTTAATTGGATGGACGTTTTTTCTATACTGTATACCCTTGGTATATGTAAAAGGGCATTCAGATCAGTAGGAACTTAGTTCTTCCAGTATATGTTTTAATCTAAAGTAGTGAAACTTTAAGCATTTTTTTTTCGTGAAATTCAACATGTTGCGGATTTGGAAAAGTAATCCAAATATTGCCTGTAACCAAAACTACAAAATCAAAGAGATGGAGAGGATATACGGGGTAAAACTAAAGGGACAGATGTACAACGCCCTCAAGTGGTATAGGGTAGGGTTCCATCAGCCTTGTATGTCTGATTAGTCTGAAATACTTTTCGTAGACTATCGTTACCGAGAATATATCCAGTTAAGGTTATCGGAATAGGGGGTCTCCATGTTGTTGCTTTTGTTTCCATATTCTGCTGATGTTTTACGCTTTTTGTTGACAGTTCAGTATTCTCTTCTTGTTATTTATGAATAAAAGAGTATGTCTGTTGCTTAATGTTAATGAACAATGGTAATTTTAATCTTTGATGTTGTCTTTATTTGATAAAGGTGTCAATATATTCACAATTGGATACAGGATGAGCATTGCCAACATTGATGAATAATACTTTCACGGGTTTTTTATTATGTGTTACAACCTTATACATAGTACGCGAAGTATACTTTAAAATGTTTCTTAATTTAATTTTAATTGACTAATACTCCATTCGCTAATTCAATTTCCTTTATATATTATAAATTGTGCCCGATTAAATTAGTTCTAGGTCATTATTTCTACTGTGTTTAGGTAGTTTGCGTTATTTTCCATATGTCAATTATGACCTTTTTCAGGTGTGGTCATGTCCCTTAGCTTAACGACGCGATGATAAATATGTTTAAACATTTTATCAAGATATACTTTCTATATGCTATGTCATTCTTCTTATTTTAGTCTCTGTTATTGTAAAAAGGGCTCTATATTCGGAAAGACAAATTTGTTACTGAGTTATACAAATGCTATTTCTGATAGTGCAATTGTAGTATCTATAACTTATGATGTGACAAGGTTCCAGTGACTTTATTGGTAAAGGGATTTAAAAACAGTAAATATTTTACTTGGTAATATCATCGATACAGGTGATGGGATAAGTAAGACATTTACCGAAATTACCAGTGATAAGAAAAGAACATCTTTTCGTTGATGTTACAGATAGTATTGATAATGGGACGATGAATGATAAATCAGTTGACATATGTACTTTTGGTGACAGGACACCAGTGTATACTAATGTACTTCATCGAATGCATCTTATTTGCAATGATAAATATATGTTTCAATTGAATATCCCCAATATAACTACCTTTCTTTTAAATCCCTTATTAAATTCAGATGTACCATGCTACAAGCAAAAGATAAAAACTACAAGATATTCCATGCTACGAACAAATCAACTGTATCCACAATAATGGTATTAAAACAGAAAGAGTTTTTTTTCAACTTCATGATTAAGTATTCGAACTATTTTAAAAACAGGAACAGTACGGTTAAATAACACTTTTTATATAGCATATTGATATTTACTGTTTTGAGAATGACTGGTGTATTGACATCTGTACATGTTCTGCTATGGAAAACAACGTTTAAATAAGACCTGTTGTCACGAATATTTTTACTAAACATTGCAGTTGTATTGCTACCCTAAATTAAGGTTTTTTAAGACAATAAAAACCAAAAACATGTGTATGCTTGTTTCAGGATGCTGAGGCACAGAGAATAAACAAAATCAACAAACTGAGTTTTAGAAGGCGTGCCAAGGAATCACCAACGGTGGAGAAGATACGCGAACGTGAAAAGGACTTTCGCAACGACGCCATTATCACTGAAAAGTTAAGGACTAAGTATAAGGACATTATACCAAAATACGACGCCTCAGTGGATAAAAGCTGTAAAGGATACTTCAAACGACCAGACGTGCAGAGACTTATTACGGCCACGTGCTACAAAAAATAACGGGAAAGTTAATCCAACTCTCCTTTAAAATATATATAAATATATTTCTGCTGTATTTATGAAGGAATCCGATATGGTAACGCCTTCTTGTGGTTGCTGACTGGCTCCTCGTTGACTCATGATAACAACAGATCATACATGTTAACAATATATATATAAGTACCCAGATTACTTACGTTTTGCGTGGTATATATTTTCGCGTACATTAGCGTGATCTCGATCAATTATTCATATATATCGTAAACACATAATCATTAAGGATCCCTGTCCCACTGCAGACAAAGCAATACAGACATTCGGAAGTTTGTCATATACAAAGTTTCTTCCCCTTAATATCGTGTTTTGGTTATTCTTTAGTCGGACTGTGCCGAGGAACCGGTTAGAATGACTGTAGTTTGATCGTAGGCTCAGAGTTTGATTCACGGTCTTGACCCTTTTTATTTTTACTCTCTGAACACTGTTTTGTATTTTTTTAAATCGAATTTCGTCTACATTCATTTTTTCATAAACATTTCGAAATAAATGTTTCTGGTTTTGGCAATGTGACAGGGAATTTTAAGTCTTCCTTAGCGAATATATCGGAAACGTTAATTTGAGTAATCACGCGTACGCAAATACACGGTATCATCAGTATTGGAAACTAGGTTATCTATCCTTCGATCCAGTGCGTTCGTAATGTACTCAAAAGATTAAGGATCCTTGTCCCACTGCGACCTCCACTACATATTTTTCCGTATGTAAAGTAGCCTCCCCTTAGTTTCGGTTTGGATATTACTATAGCGCGAACCTTCGGTTGCTTAGAGCGACAGTACAACAATATGAGGTCAAAGGTTAAATTCCTAGTCTAACACAGCTGATTTTGTACATTCGGAATACTGTTGTTGATTTTATTTTTGCTGATGTACTTTTTTTTAATAAAAATCCTGCAATGTATATTTTTTTTCTTCAGAAATGATTATTAAAAGCTATATTCACGCCGGAAAACAAACAGTTTTTAATGTGCAGGTACCGTTTTTGTCGGTATTTTTGGCATCAATAATCTGATCACCTTTGGGAGACTCCCAAAGGATGGATTTCACGTAATGGACAAGTATTTGTGAGTTTTGTGTATCGAAAAACAATATGTCTGAACGACAGATATGAAAAAGCTTCCTAATTAGGGCGGTGGATATGTCTATTGGTTTAAAGATAGATGAACTATCGACATAATTATACAAATATATCGTTACTGTTCCATCCCTACCTGTCCTATGTGTACAGCACATCATCCTTTAGGTTGTTTTGGTGTTGATGGTGATACAAATTATGTTATCATAACATGTAGATAATGCACTGCTTATATGTATACTTTGTAAGTTGTTACATTTAAGTTTGATAGATGTTGTTTTTATAAGTCAAACTGGATGTATTACAATGGAATTTTCAGGAAGAGTATTGGAATGATTTTCAGACATTCAACATATTGCTGGTATTTTATACATTATTTTGGTACGGTTAACTTGAAATACCGTTATAAAAATGATGTTTTTTTTATCTATATTCAATGCGTAACGTTATAAAGGGTTCTATGGTCCTTTTTTCTCATGTTGTTGCATGTATTTTATAATATAAGATAGAACACTTAAAACTGGATTATAATTCGTTTAATCTTCTGTGAAACTGATGCGTCCTAAGTGGCCATTTGATGCAGTAAATAATCACTTTGTGTGGCTTTCTGCATGCAGACAATAACTATTTTTTATGATAATCTAATATAACAGTTCAAAGTTTTATAATTGATAAAACAGTTAAAATACATCTGTTCTGGTATTCAGAATATCCATTAAACTAACAAATATGTCATTCGGTTGGGCAAAGTTTTAAATTATCAATTTGGTTTGATTTGTTATATATGCAGAAAAGATACTCAATTTAATAACGTAGTAAAAAATACCGGTTCAAACTTTATTCTCTCGATTTAGAAATCCGTTATATGTTTCTTCCATTTAGGACGCGTCAGTATAAAATACATGTCTGATGTATTAAGACTCGTCAGTATAAAATACATGTCTGATGTATTCCTAAGCATGTTGTGTTACAACCAAATGAAAATGTACATATGTAACCCTGAACAAAAAATATAAATTTTCAAACTGGTATTCCTTCCATGTATACTAAACCAGACCTAACGCCAGCATTGGTACTACTGGGACTATTACCAGTGTTGCTTTACAGTTTTTATAATAAATAATTTAGGTAATACAGGTTTAATTGCATTCAACTTTCGACTTATTTACTTAGGATTTACTGTGTACAGTTTAGGTTTTTCTTACTCTCGACTCGATTACTTTAAATCGCAATTATAATTAAAACAATAATGCTTAATACACAACGATGATGGAACCAAGAATGACAGTGAGTTTGCCCTGTTACTGTCTAAATATAATACCACTGGTTAGCAAACACAGTTAAAGTATTTGAACGTTAATTATGTTTTCAGTAGTAGATTTCCCATTAGCATTAGGTATCCATGTCGTTTGGAATTCAAACTTATTATCGATATGTAACAGGAACAAATTCAAATTTACTTAGAATTTAAACAGATATGTAGAAATGTCGCCTTTATTGGAATTTACAACAAAATTCATTTCATAACAGCAGGCACTGGGACGGTATTCTATGTATGATCTGTACGAAGTAGTGGCTAATTATGCTCGTCCTGTAGATTATGTGTGGAAGTTGGTAACAACAACAGCAGGTACTGGGACGGTATTCTATGTATGATCTGTACGAAGAAGTCGCTAATTATGTTTGTCCTGTAGATTATGTGTGGAAGTTGGTAACAATAACAGCAGGTCCTGGGACGGTATTCTATGTATGATCTGTACGAAGTAATGGCTAATTATGTTTGTCCTGTAGATTATGTGTGGAAGTTGGTAACAATAACAGCAGGTACTGGGACGGTATTCTATGTATGATCTGTACGAAGAAGTGGCTAATTATGTTTGTCCTGTAGATTATGTGTGGTAACAATAACAGCAGGCACTGGGACGGTAGTCTATGTATGATCTGTACGAAGTAGTGGCTAATTATCATTGTCTTGTAGATTAAGTGTGGTAACAATAACAGCAGGCACTGGGACGGGATTCTATGTATGATCTGTACGAAGTAATGGCTAATTATGCTTGTCCTGTAGATTATGTGTGGAAGTTGGTAACAACAACAGCAGGTACTGGGACGGTATTCTATGTATGATCTGTACGAAGAAGTCGCTAATTATGTTTGTCCTGTAGATTATGTGTGGAAGTTGGTAACAATAACAGCAGGTCCTGGGACGGTATTCTATGTATGATCTGTACGAAGTAGTGGCTAATTATGCTCGTCCTGTAGATTATGTGTGGAAGTTGGTAACAATAACAGCAGGCACTGGGACGGTATACTATGTATGATCTGTACGAAGTAATGGCTAATTATGCTTGTCCTGTAGATTATGTGTGGAAGGTGGTAACAATAACAGCAGGCACTGGGACGGTAGTCTATGTATGATCTGTACGAAGTAATGGCTAATTATGCTTGTCCTGTAGATTATGTGTGGTAACAATAACAGCCGGCACTGGGACGGTATTCTATGTATGATCTGTACTAAGTAATGGCTAATTATGTTTGTCCTGTAGATTATGTGTGGTAGTTGGTAACAATTATTGCTGTTTCATCAAATAGGAATATCAGTACCTGGAGTATGATAAACAGAAGGGAAAATAGATTATTGTTTTGTCTAACTAGGCCGTTAATACATAGAAGGTAGGTCATATATATATACTTTCAGAATAAAGACGGTTATTCTTGGTTAGGCGTCTATTATAACCCGTTCACAGTGACAAGTGGTGATTATATATAACATACGCCTACTTACTCAAAACTGATGGAACCTTTTATTTTTTAATAGCAGTAATTCTGAAAAAAATCTTTGTATTTAGCACGTAATTGTGGTGCATTATTATTATTTTTTTCATCAGTTGCATAATGTGATTTTTTTTCAAGAAAATAACACAAATACATAATTAATTTTTCAATCAATAGTTAAGGGAGACAACTCGAGCGTGCCACTCTTCACCTTTTGTTGTGCTTTGGATTCTAATTAACTTGTTTATATATTTTATTGATTGATGACAAAAATATTATACCGTTTGTTTTCTTTTGAATTTATTACTTATATGCTCTCTATAAAAATTCCTTTGACAATATTTGACAATTAAATGTCAATGAAATGACAAAACAATGGAATTATCTTTGTCTCTTTTTTTCTGTCGATAAGGCTGGGTTATTTTTTTTTTTCTTTTCTTATTTTCTTACACTTGCAGAACACAAATAATGATAACAAATTCATTAAATAATTTTTAAAAAATTACAAACAAACGCTTATGATAGGAACCGAAAAGTGTAAAATGGCTAAGAAATAAACATCAAGCAAGATTTTAGGGGGAAAGTGTTTACATTTATAAAACTCGGTTCCAATAATTTCTCAATTTCAAAAGTCAATACTGAATGGAAATTCTTAGTGTTTTTTAATACTTTTTGTGAGTTATCTGCCTTATCTGTCGCCATTGGGGTGTTTTCATCTCACGTCGATATCTTTTTCAAAATAGTATAATTTATTTTATTTGATGTAAACAGACTTATCTTTAAACAAACCTGTTCTGTAAAACATTTGGACTAGCGTTTTAAATCGTTAAGTCTAACAGAATATATAGGTATGTTATGATGACATAAAAGTCATTAAACCTTCCTCGTGTTACATGAATGATGTAGTGAATAATGATATTAACGGACATGTTGTGAATGATAAACTCGGAGTTGAGACCTCCACCGCGTCAACACTCGGCTTTACAAGATTCAATTAAAGACAAATTGAATAACAACTCTAACATTTGTTACAAAATATGTAAAGCTACTTTTAATTAAAACCTTTGAAATATTTAATTATTAAAGGGAACACTATTTGTATGTAACAGAATAAGATGAAATGGATCGACAGCGACCTTTCACCAAGACGGCCAGAGTTTGATCCCACGGTCGGACATGAACAGGTATTGAGTTACTTGCCCAAACACGTGGGTTTCTTTCGGTTGTTCGTGAGATTCCTCCCACGTTAAGACCCTGCACGTGCTAACATATGAGTAAACAAGAGTATGAAAAACTTGCTTCATAATATCTATAAAAGAACTAAAGAGTATGTTCTATTTCATAAGATGAACAAATGAATTCGCTTATTTATATATTTATCACGTTTCACATATTTGAGTCATCCTGACGGCTAACTGATCGACGTCCGGTATAGGATGTAGCTATATAATATAAAATAATCACACTGACACGTCTGTCAATATCGGGCAGCATACAGAGGATCCGATGAGTCAAACAGGGACGAAGTACAGTATGTATACTTCAACGTCATCGTGTGTAGTGTGTACACTTGTGCGTTCTGAGCGTGCTGGAGAGGCTCGAGACACATGGACCGTCCGCACATCCTTCTAACAGTTGTTATCCGTACCCTAATCCTCTTCCCTGGAATCGCCTCTATGAAAACAGACAAGGAGAAACTTCAAGGTAAAGCTGTTTATATTTGGTTTCATGTTACAACATCTTAAGGTAAAGGGTGCAAATACGTTTAACCATACCATTAACATTGTCACTGCTGTGAAATGTTGTTTAAGATATTTTCAAAAAACATAGTTTATAAAAATTACGTGTTGGCATGCATTTGACAGAATTGTAATTGAATGTTTGGTTTGAAAAATGAAAATACAAATAAAAAAAACAACTACAGCAAGAGCCGAATCGGGGAACCTTTACATTACAAAGCCTAAACTTTAACAATGTGTCAATACAGGAAATACACAAGCACATTAATAGCAAAATAATTGTTCACAAATGGGCCACACAGCGTATGAAAACTTGACAGGGAGGGTAACTTTTAGCTTCAACCTCTATATAGAGGGAAAACACTCCAATCAGAAACAGTCTCTGAGCGGAACTCTTCTTTGCGATTAAAACCGATGCAGCGGTACCATTTAACTTAATTATCATAGCTTTATAATTATAGGCTGCTTACAGTTATATCAGTATTAGCCGTACACAGATTATCGAACACCATCCCTTATATACACTCTTAATCTGGAAAATAACCCCAGGCTAATGTCCGTTTTATCAACCATTTCCAAGCATATATTGCTAGCTAGACCATTTTTTAGAAACCGCTTATTTTCGGAGCCATTTAAGCGTTAAGGCATGGACAGCTAAACTACTAGGCCGTCTTTCTGAACGACACAGACCAGTGATGAATTAGCCTCGCCATTAGAAGTCATATTTATCAAATGCTACATTTCAGTTACACAAAATTTCATAAATTCCTTACAACATTTAACGTACATACAAACAATGTATTAACTATACGTTGTAAATACTTTAGTACGGCATTGTTTGTTTGATTTGACACTTTATCGACGAATTATAATCACAACGAGATATGCCATTATATCGGACACTTAATTACGCCCTATACACTCCTGGAATATGTCATAGAAAAACTGAAGGCACGCGGCTAGCTATTTGGTTGGTTTCAGATAAAAAAAAAAACTACCAATCGCTAGACTGATACATGTCCCTTGAAGATTACAGAGGAGTTACATCCGACTTCAAAGTCAGTCAATTTTACCGTTACGCAACCGCGAGATTCTTTTGATGAACATCAAAGGATAAAAAAGTCTACTTGTTTCATCCACAAGTGGTGCCTATGTAGCCTTTAATTTAGCTATGACATATTCCAGGGGTGCAGAGAGCGAAAGTGGGCATAAACCTCTGATATCGGGAGTGATTAGACATGACCTGAAGGTCAACACTGACCAACTTTCATGCACTCACAATATTCCATTGCTTGGACCATTCAAGACTTTTGACCAACAGACCAAACATTCGATGTTATTAGTTTATATTCAGTACTTATCTAATAAAAGCAGTCTGATATTTCTAATTGAAGGAAGACAACATCATGGCAGATATAGCATTCGGTGCAAGAAACAATTTTCGAACAGAAGGTGTTGTCCCTGGAAATTCGATAATATCATGGTGTCTTTCCTTTTGGTGTTTGATCAGTTTAGTTTTATCCTTTCTTCCTTTGACTGGATTCTAAATTCGGATTTCATCTTTTACTGTTAACGTTATGCTTTCTTTTAGTTTAGTTTTAAGTTTATTTTATTTACGTATCCTATAAATATATTCATAAGCAAACAATGTACACTTATGGAAATCTGTAACCTTCTATCGTTACCAACATTAACAGCTATAACGGCATGGATAGTGGCACGAACAGGAGAAATCTGGGAAAGAATAACAAATCTCTTCATAGTTAGATGCAATATAATATTGCAAATGTATTGCTTTAGTTTAGAAAATGTATCCCCGAATACAACACAATAATTCTTATGTTTAGGAACAGATGGACTGACGCTATACCACAGAAACCTTACGTGGGAGGAGGCATTTACATTCTGTCAGGGTATGGACGATTCCCTCGCCGTACCCCAAACATACGAATACAGCTCTGTACAGAATGCCATTCGGAACCAAGAACGCGTGTGGGTTGGTCAATACACCTATACAACCCCATGGATGTATCCAACCGGTAAGTTTATGATACATTCTAGGTACTAGATGTGACATAACACGTGTAGGTGTGATACATAAATGGTACAAGATGTGACGTAATATATGTGGTATATTCTAGGTACAAGATGTGACGTAATATAAGTGGTATATTCTAGGTACAAGATATGACGTAATATATGTGATATATTCTAGGTACAAGATGTGACGTAATATATGTGGTATATTCTAAGTACAAGATGTGACGTAATATATGTGGTATATTCTAGGTACAAGATGTGACGTAATATGTGGTATATTCTAGGTACAAGTTGTTTTAGTTTGGTTTATTCCGTTTGGTTTTATTTGTGTTTATCGTTCTATTTGTGTTTATCGTCCTAGTTGTGTTTACCGTCCAATTTGTGTTTATCATCCTATTTGTGTTTACCGTTCTATTTGTGTTTATCGCTCTATTTGTGTTTATCGTCCTATTTGTGTTTACCGTCCTATTTGTGTTTACCGTCCTATTTGTGTTTATCATCCTATTTGTGTTTATCGCCCTATTTGTGTTTACCGTCCTATTTGTGTTTATCATTCTATTTGTGTTTACCGTCCTATTTGTGTTAACGTCCTATTTGTGTTTATCGTCCTTTTTTTGTTTATCATCTTACAATGTATTTGTGTTTACCGTCCTATTTTTGTTTAACGTCCTATTTGTGTTTATCATCTTACAATGTATTTGTGTTTACCGTCCTATTTGTGTTTATTATCCTATTTGTGCTAACCGTCCTTTTTGTGTTTATTATCCTATTTGTGTTAACCGTCCTATTTGTGTTTATCATTCTAATTTTGTTAACCATCCTATTTGTGTTTATTATCCTATTTGTGCTAACCGTCCTATTTGTGTTAACCGTCCTATTTGAGTTTTATATCCTATTTGTGTTAATCGTCCTATTTGTGTTAGCCGTCCTATTTGTGTTAACCGTCCTATTTGTGTTTATCATTCTAATTCTGTTTACCGTCCTATTTGTGTTTACCGCTCTATTTGTGTTTATTATCCTATTTGTGTTAACCGTCCTATTTGTGTTTATTATCCTATTTGTGTTAACCGTCCTATTTGTGTTTATTATCCTATATGTGTTAACCGTCCTATTTGTGTTTATTATCCCATTTGTGTTTATTATCCTATTTGTGTTAACCGTCCTGTTTGTGTTGACCGTCATCTTACAATGTATTTGTGTTTACCGTCCTATTTGTGTTTATCGTCCTATTTTTGTTTATCATCTTACAATGTGTTTGTGTTTACCGTCCTATTTGTGTGTATCGTCCTATTTTTGTTTATCATCTTACAATGTATTTGTGTTTACCGTCCTTTTTGTGTTTATCGTCCTATTTTTGTTGATCATCTTACAATGTATTTGTGTTTACCGTCCTATTTGTGTTTACCGTCCTATTAGTGTTTACCGTCCTATTTGTGTTTATCGACCTATTTGTGTTTTGTTTATTGTGTTTATCGATTTAGTTGGATAAGTTGAGATTATTGTGTTTATCGTCCTATTACTAGCGAAGATCATTCAAAGGCGACCGTCCATGTGTGTGGCCTTACACACGGCTAACGACTATTTCTAAACTGAATGGCACCAGATAGTCAAATCAGACAAAAAGAGGAAATAGCAAATATATACACAAGCATTGTCTCAATACTTTATTTATTTGTTTGTTGTGCCTGTTCATGCAGGGTGCTTCACAGCCACTAAGCCTTCGAAGAGGATAGAAGACAATGATATTGCCACATGTAAACGCTTCTGTGGGGACATGGACGTCATGCTGAATGTAAGTTGGTATTTTTAAAATGATTTTACAGGAGATTTTTTTTTTTATTAAATTGCGATGTCACAATTACAAATGCAATCCGTAATATAAATTGTTGTTATGTTTCGATTGTTAAAAATCCGTGCGATGGGTTGATTTTTAATCAGTGATGATACTCTGGTATACATGTCTATCGGGGATAGGGGTAATTTTGTAATGTATTTGTGTAAACCTTTCGGCAAAGCCTCATAAATAGACAAAAGCGTTAATCCTTACAGATTTATAACTGCCTTTGTGTAACCGAAGCTCCGGGTATCAGCACTCGAACCAACTCCTCCTTATGTAATACGAGATGTCCTGGTAACAGGGACGACGTTTGCGGAGGAGAGAATGTCTACCAGCACTACGCAACATGTAAGATATGCCAGCCAGTATACTAGGGTGTACATCTGCTCGTTTATGTATTCATTTCATGGTAAATGGATTTTTTTGATTTATATACAATGTACTATTTTGTGTTCCTTTTTGTATTAGGGTAATTCTAAATAATACACATCATCAGTTTTTCCTACATCCTTTTTTGTTGCATAATAATCACTTTGAGGTGGGTTGTTTGTGATATTGACTCGGTTTGACTATTTTCAGAAACAGCTGGGCAATATTCACTTATTAACGTCACTTCAAATGCATTACCAATCCAATCTCTTCTGAATGCATTTTTTTCTCTTGACGATTTGCCAACGCTCCGTCTCAAAATGGATAAACAATTTATCTTATATACCATATAACAATGCCGGACTTTCATTTTGGTGAATATGTGTCAGTGGGACCCGAAAAGTGATATTAACCCCTACTTCGTCTCGGTCAATATCGTATTCTCATTTCTATATTACCATTTATATACCTAACAAAAGTCCATATTTGATATAATTGTAAATGTAGATGCAACAACATTTTTCTAAACTAGACATATTGAATTTACTATACCGGAGGTCAAGGTAATAATGGCTTTAGTTGCATATTTTACACTACATTGATTCTTGTTTGAATTTAACCATAGACAATGTGGTTGTTGTTTTGGTTGTTTTAGCTTTTAATAACGTACATATGATCTACCTGTAAATGATAGTAGCGTTGGTATTTCATGAGAACATCTCAAGACAGCTCTACGCTTACGTCTGCAATGTGTACATGTAGTGGCACAGTTAGTTAAGTCTGTACTAGTACATCATCGTGTGAATTAACTCATTCACCCCTGAAAACACATTTGAACTCTTCCAATTCAAAGGTTGGAATAGTTCACTATGATATTTCAGGGATGGATTAACGCATTCACCCCTGAAAACACATTAGAACTCTACCAATTCAAAGGTTGGAATAGTTCACTATGAAATTTTAGGGGTGAATGAGTTAAAGGGACATACTGTTAACGGACGATACGTATTGCTAGTGAAATTGTTGACGTCGTGACTTTAAACAGATTGCTGTATGGAAATGTTCGCGTTGGCAAAGCCTCTGAAAGCTATATATTCTATACCTCTGTTATAAATATTTATCACATAATCGGCCTGTTTTCCAGTGAATTCGCCCGTGTAATAATTGTACATGTGTCACTAGTGAAATATACCTTAGAGCGTTTTTCATTGGCTGTGCCAGTCAGAAATCGATTGTGACGTCATAATATGTACAATGACGTGACGTCATAAATTGTGAACGGTGCAACAAAATGGCTGTCTCCGTTTGATTAAGCCCTCTATATTTTGGCTTTAAAACCTGTCAAAATATAAGTTTTCTGAGTAATGTGATAAAAAGTATCTTAAATTTGTTTTCGTTTCGTATGAGCTTTTATGAAACTCGTCTCGAAGTTTCATAAAATCTCATATGAAATGAAACTCTTTTAAGATCCAATATATATAAGAGATATTCCGACATGGAAATATCAGCGCTTATTTACTCAACACATACTAAATCACTGAATAAGGTTCAAAGTAACCGTACCACTGTGTTATGTAAAAGAACTATTAAAACAGTATTTAACACTGTGACGATATGCTTTGACCAAGCTTCCTTTTCTTCTGATATTGTAGATGCTGATACCAAAGAAGACTCAGATAGAGGCAATTGTGGAATGCTAGAAAAGCATTTAAACCAATCCTTTAGTATAGTCGCACGTCACTGCGATATAAAGAACACCTATTTGTGCGCATTATGTAAGTAACTTGATCAGTATTATTTGTCCTTGGCGCTCTGAAAGTGTTGCATAATAAATGTTTTAAATGTAAACCGTATGTTTGCTGATTTTAATCGATAAAGTATGCATGGTATTCTTAAGCATGATTGCTCCACTTAGCCTAGCTATACGAATGGAAATCTTGAAGAGGAAAAAAAACATCTCAGGAAACTGGCATACAAATCATGCAATTAATTACATATTTGTTTGACGTTTTATAATATGTATCTTTATTTTGTCTTTGCTGAAGCCTTTTATAAAATATGTCGCCTCGGTTGATATCACTTTTATCACAGTTTTACTTTCTACACAAACAATGTATGTACTAAACGTGTAGCAACGTTCCAAGACCGACTGGTCCCTTTGTCAAGCGATGACTGAGTGAGACCGACTGGTCCCTTGGTCAAGCTATGACTGAGTGAGCCCGACTGGTCCCTTTGTCAAGCTATTACTGAGTGAGACCGACTGGTTCTTTTGTCAAGCGATGATTGAGTGAGACCGACTGGTCCCTTTGATGTATGTACTAAACGTGTAGCAACGTTCCAAGACCGACTGGTCCCTTTGTCAAGCGATGACGGAGTGAGACCGACTGGTCCCTTTGTTTAGCTATGACTGAGTGAGACCGACTGGTCCCTTGGTCAAGCTATGACTGAGTGAGCCCGACTGGTCCCTTTGTCAAGCTATGACTCAGTGAGACCGACTGGTTCTTTTGTCAAGCGATGATTGAGTGAGACCGACTGGTCCCTTTGCCAAGCTATGACTAAGTGAGACCGACTGGTCCCTTTGTCACGCTATGCCTGAGTGAGACCGACTGGTCCCTTTGTGAAGCTATGACTGAGTGAGACCGACTGGTCCCTTGGTCAAGCTATGACTGAGTGAGCCCGACTGGTCCCTTTGTCAAGCTATGTCTGAGTGAGACCGACTGGTCCCTTTGATGTATGTACTAAACGTGTAGCAACGTTCCAAGACCGACTGGTCCCTTTGTCAAGCGATGACGGAGTGAGACCGACTGGTCCCTTTGTCACGCGATGACTGAGTGAGACCGACTGGTACCTTTGGCAAGCTATGACTGAGTGAGACCTACTGGTCCCTTTGTCAAGCTATGACTGGGTGAGACCGACTGGGTCTTTTGTCAAGCGGTGACTGAGTGAGACCGACTGGTCCCTTGGTCAAGCTATGACTGAGTGAGCCCGACTGGTTCCTTTGTCACGCCATTGCTGAGTGAGACCGACTGGTTCCTTTGTCAAGCGATGACTGAGTGAGAACGACTGGTCGCTATGTCAAGCGATGACTGAGTGATACCGACTGGTCCCTTTGTCAAGCTATGACTCAGTGAGACCGACTGGTTCTTTTGTCAAGCGGTGACTGAGTGAGACCGACTGGTCCCTTGGTCAAGCTATGACTGAGTGAGCCCGACTGGTTCTTTTGTCAAGCGATGATTGAGTGAGACCGACTGGTCCCTTTGCCAAGCTATGACTGAGTGAGACCGACGGGTCCCTTTGTCAAGCTATGACTGAGGGAGACCGACTGGTCCCTTTGTCAGGCTATGACTCAGTGAGACCGACTGGTTCTTTTGTCAAGCGATGACTGAGGGAGACCGACTGGTCCCTTTGTCAGGCTATGACTCAGTGAGACCGACTGGTCCCTTTGTCAGGCTATGACTGTGTTAGCGATTTGTAGTTTTTATCTGTACAAAGCAACGTTCCAAGACCGACTGGTCCCTTTGTCAAGTGATGACTGAGTGAGACCGACTGGTCCTTTTGTCAAGCGATGACTGAGTGAGACCGACCGGTCGCTATGTCAAGCGATGACTGAGTGAGCCCGACTGGTTCCTTTGTCACGCCATGACTGAGTGAGACCGACTGGTCCCTTTGTCAGGCTATGACTGAGTTAGCGATTTGTAGTTTTTATCTGTACAACGATGTGGCGAAATTGTACATTTTTCATGTCATATCTTATCTTCATTATTCAAATCAATTGTATTGCAGTCTTGAATGCAGATGACAATAAAACAAGCGGGGTACCTTTCTATATACCCAAGTACGATAACGGCTCCCTACAATTCCTAACGTACCAGGAAGCATTAGATAGTTGTGCTAACAACGGAACATATTTAGCCGACCCAACTAAATTACAAGCAAGCCAATTAAACCTCGGAAAGTCAACTCAGTACTGGATAGGTGCCAGGAGGCGAACAACTTACGTGACATCCGTTAAAGGTAAATACATTATATTTACAACGCAGTATCGATACAAAAATACACGACTATTATGAGTTTATTAGAACTGTTAAATGTTTCTAGTATTATATAGTGTTAAAACGAGTCGTTATGATCAATTTTATTGTGGTATAAAAATTGTAATCCTACATGCGTTTGTGTAATATTTTCAGTGAATGTGTCTTTAATTTAAGACATCGTATAAATCATAGATGAAGCAGAGGACGCTTTCTCTTCCAGGACACGTGGTCTTATTTACCATGTGTTTTCCATCGTTCATATTCTGCTTTATCTTTAGTTCGTTTTTGCTTGTGATGAAATTCTGTTTTTGTCTTGCGTGTTAATAAATAACAAAAAAGTTGTTTACCGCATCGATCGTACATACCCTCCTACGCCTGAAATCAAGGTCATTGCAGGCTTTTCTACTTCAATCCTTACTTACAATATGACCAACTATTAATTTGTACGATAAGCTGGATGATTTTGACTCCCTTGGCTGGTGTCGTCGACGAAGCAGATGACGCTTACTCTTCCTGAACACCTGGTCATATTCTCGTTTTACAATTTGCCAAAGTCTACATGTAAATATTTTATTTTTTATTTTTTGTTCATCTATTTTGAGTTTTATCTATTTTGAGTTTGATCTATTTTGAGTTTTATCTCTTTTGAGTTTTATCTATTTAGAGTTTTATCTATTTTGAGTTTTATCTATTGTGAGTTTTATCTGTTTTTAGTTTTATCTATTTAGAGTTTTATCTATTTAGAGTTTTATCTATTTAGAGTTTTATCTAGAGTTTTATCTATTTCGAGTTTTATCTATTTAGAGTTTTATCTATTTAGAGGGTTATCTTTTTTGAGTTTTATCTATTTTGAGTTTAATCTATTGTGAGTTTTATCTGTTTTTAGTTTTATCTATTTAGAGTTTTATCTATTTAGAGTTTTATCTATTTAGAGTTTTATCTAGAGTTTTATCTATTTCGAGTTTTATCTATTTAGAGTTTTATCTATTTAGAGGGTTATCTTTTTTGAGTTTTATCTATTTTGAGTTTAATCTATTTTGAGTTTTATATGTTTTTATTTTTATCTATTTAGAGTTTTATCTAATTTGAGTTTTATCTATTTAGAGTTTTATCTGTTTTTAGTTTTATCTTTTTTGAGTTTTATCTATTTTGAGTTTTATCTGTTTTTAGTTTTATCTTTTTTGAGTTTTATCTATTTTGAGTTTAATCTATTTTGAGTTTTATATGTTTTTAGTTTTATCTATTTAGAGTTTTGGGGGTTTAGAGTTTTATCTATTTAGAGGGTTATCTTTTTTGAGTTTTATCTATTTTGAGTTTAATCTATTTTGAGTTTTCCCCCTTTTTAGTTTTATCTATTTAGAGTTTTATCAATTTAGAGTTTTATCTAGAGTTTTATCTATTTAGAGTTTTGGGGGTTTAGAGTTTTATCTATTTAGAGTTTAATCTATTTAGAGGGTTATCTATTTTTAGTTTTATCTATTTTGAGTTTTATCTATTTTTAGTTTGATCTATTTTGAGTTTTATCTATTTTGAGTTTAATCTATTTTGAGTTTTCCCCCTTTTTAGTTTTATCTATTTAGAGTTTTATCTATTTAGAGTTTAATCTATTTAGAGGGTTATCTATTTTTAGTTTTATCTATTTTGAGTTTTATCTATGTTGAGTTTTATCTATTTAGGGTTTTATCGATTTAGAGTTTTATCTATTTACATTTTTTTCTATTTTGAGTTTTATCTATTTTGAGTTTAATCTATTTTGAGTTTTCCCCCTTTTTAGTTTTATCTATTTAGAGTTTTGGGGGTTTAGAGTTTTATCTATTTAGAGGGTTATCTATTTTGAGTTTTATCTATTTTGAGTTTAATCTATTTTGAGTTTTATATGTTTTTATTTTTATCTATTTAGAGTTTTATCGATTTAGAGTTTTATCTATTTACATTTTTTTCTATTTTGAGTTTTATCTATTTTGAGTTTGATCTATTTTGTGTTTGATCTATTTTGAGTTTTATCTATTGTGAGTTTTATCTGTTTTTAGTTTTATCTATTTAGAGTTTTGTCTCTTTTGAGGTTTATCTAGTTAGAGCTTTATCTATTTAGAGTTTTATCTATTTAGAGTTTTATCTCTTTTGAGCTTTATCTCTTTTGAGTTTTATCTATTTAGAGTTTTATCTCTTTTGAGTTTTATCTAGTTAGAGCTTTATCTATTTAGAGTTTTATCTCTTTTGAGTTTTATCTAGTTAGAGCTTTATCTATTTAGAGTTTTATCTCTTTTGAGTTTTATCTCTTTTGAGTTTTATCTATTTAGAGTTTTATCTCTTTTGAGTTTTATCTAGTTAGAGCTTTATCCATTTAGAGTTTTATCTATTTAGAGTTTTATCTGTTTTTAGTTTTATCTATTTAGAGTTTTATCTATTTAGAGTTTTATCTATTTTTAGTTTTATCTATTTAGAGTTTTATCTATTTAGAGTTTTATCTATTTTGAGTTAGAATTCTGGTTTTGTTGACACTTCGGTTACTTGCAATGATTCAACTGTCATTGATTATGTGTTATTATCTTCAGATCTGTTCAAACTAGTTAAGAATTTCAAAGTTATTGATTTCAACCCATTAATATCAGATGTCCATTGTAGTATTGAACTCGTCTTACATGGAATGAATAATGAAAATAACAGCCACGGTAACCCCAGCTCTAATAGCATGACTTATGTCAAATGGAACTGTGAGAAAATAAATACATGTGTAGACGTAATAAAAACCGATAATGAAGATGGTGTAAACAAAATTAGTGATACATTAAAACAACTCCATGATACACCCGTGGACCAAATTAATAAAACCGAACTTAACGACATTGTGAGTCAAATAGGTAACCTCTTCACAAGGTCAGCTAATAAGGCGTTCGGTAAAAGATATCCAGACATGCGCAAGAGTAATTAATGTACAACTAATAAACCATAGTATGCTGGGAAATGTAGAAAACTGAGAAATGAGTTTTACTTGGCAAAGAGTAAGTATAAATTAGTGAAAAATCAAATAAACAAAAAAGCCCTGAGAAATAAGAGCAAATAATATAGAAAATAAATGAAAAGGTGTTTTAAGGAATATCAGCATAAAATGGAAAGGGATATCAGGGAATCTGCAAATAGTAATCCCAAAAAATTATGGTATTTATTAAATAAATTATCTGGTAAAGCTAAATCTAATAAAATTGACATACCAATAAATGAACTTTTTGAGTATTTCAAAAAGCTGAACAATTCAAATGATGACCGGGATGATGATAACATATATATTCCCGAACAAGAAAATAATAATTTTTACCAAATACTAGACGAAGATATTTCAGAGGAAGAGATTAAACATGCGGTAAATAATTTAAAACATAATAAAGCATGTTGAAATGATCACATTTTAAATGAGCATATCAAGAGTACATTAACTAACTTTATGCCGTTATATACAACGTTATTTAACAGTATACTAAATACTGGATTAGTCCCGGACTCTTGGACAGTTGGAATAATTAAGCCTATTTATGAAAATAAAGGAGAAACTTCCGACCCGGACAACTATAGAGCTATAACTCTAGTGTCTTGCTTGGGGAAAGTGTTTACTCATATCATCAATGATAGATTAACTAAATTAGCTGATGAAATTAACCTAATTTCTCCCTCTCAGGCAGGGTTTAGAAAAGGTTACTCGACGACTGAAAATATTTTTATATTACACTCATTAATAAACACATATTTTGCTCAAGGGAAAAGGCTGTACTGTACATTTATTGATTTTCGAAAAGCGTTCGACACAGTTTGGCGCGCGGGATTATAGCAAAAGATGTTAAAAAGTAGCATAAATGGAAAAGTTTTTAAGGTTATCCAAAACTTATATTTTAACACCAAGTCATGTGTTAAAAACGGAAATGAAATTTCGGAATTTTTCGTTTGCAATGTCGGATTAAAACAGGGGGAAAATTTATCCCCTTTTTGTTTTCCTTATACCTGAATGATCTTGACGATTTTTTAAACCAAAATGATGTTGAATATCTTAATGATGTAGAAAGACTTAGTCAAATTAGCATTGGAATGTATCTTAAACTATTTGTAATACTGTATGCGGATGATACTGTGTTAATGGCTGAGACACCGGAGGGGTTAAAAGTGTGTTAGAAGTTGGAAGTTAACTATTAATGTACAGAAAACGAAAGTCGTCATCTTTGAAAAAAGAAAACGTAGACAACAATATGTGTTTAAATTGAATGAAGAAAATATCGAACTCCAAAATCCTTATTCATATCTGGGCATATTATCTAATAGCAATGGTACATTTAGTAAAGCAAATACAAAAATAACTGAACAAGCTAAAAAGGCACTATATGCATTGTACAAGAAAATAAGAAATATTCCATTGTATGTTGATTTGCAACTTAAGGTATTTGATTCTCTTGTTTCACCGATCCTATTGTATGCTTGTGAGCATAGAAAGAATGCATTTGCAATTTTGTAAAAGAGTCATGAATGTGAAAAATTCTACTCCGAATTACATGATTTATGAAGAAACCGGGAGGTATCCTCTGGAAGTAGAAATCAAGACAAGAATGATCTTGTTCTGGTTTAAGTTGTTAACTGGCGGGAGCAAGATATCTAGTCTGATATACAAAATGACATATGTTTCACAATCAAATGAACAAATGCATTTTAAATGGAATAATCACATAAAAGATGTATTAAACAAGTTAGGTTCTAGCAATTTGTGGATTTTTCAAAATACTTGTACAATGAATAGAAATCATTCCAAAGCTGTAGTTAAACAGCGGTTAAAAGATCAATTTATACAGAAATGGTTCCAAAAGATAGAAAACTCTTCTCGTGGTAAATTCTACTCCATATTTAAGACAAACTTTCAGTATGAATCATATCTAACAAAACTAAATGAAAAAGATAGGGAAATTATTTGTAAATTCCCACGTCTAATCTAAATTTCCCAATAGAGACTGGACGCTGGAATGCAACTCCAAAATCAGATAGAATATGCCCTTTATGTCAAACAAGTATAGGTAATGAACCACATTATTTGTTTAAATGCCAAAATACTTATATATAATCAATAAGAAAAAAATATAGCCATAATTATTACACTACAAACCCAAGCAATTTTAAGCTAAAAGGAATGATTTCTATTTGTAATTTACATGCTTTACCTAAAATAAGTCGTTTTCTAAAGAAAACAAGTAAGGCTTTAAGTGACATAAGATAAATGCAGTGCTATTATTCTGTAGTATTATATATTTGCTTGTTGTATACCAATCTGTACTCACTTTGCTATGTAATTGAAATGTATTAAAATGTTGACCTCTTGTAACACAACTCGTGTGTCATGAGTGTAAATAAAACTTGAAACTTGATATTCGTTCGTAGTTTGAGTAAACACCCGCTGGTGTTGTTGTTTTTATTTTTATTACAATGTAGTATTTTTATTAAACAATATTCCATATTGTGTTAGTGAACAATTCCATTCTTCTTAAAGAACAGTGTATTATCTGCTGTGCAATGTATACAGTCATTACACAAGTTGGTTTTATGATAAGGACAGATTGGAATCTAGTTACTATAGGTAGGATTGCCATGGACCACTTATATTGTAAACTAAGGAAAATTATATTGCTATTTAATACACTATCTTTGAAATACTCTTTTCTCAGGTTTAACGTCATATGTTTCTGAATTATATATACAGAGCTTCCAAAAAATGCAGAAGACCAAAAGTGCCTATATATGGTTAAGGGATCTAAAGGTGTGTCTAAGGATAGAGCAAAGGACTGCTCGGCGACAGAATCAGTTTTATGTCGCAAACACATGAAAGGTAATTATTCAAACGTGAAATTTATTTGCATGAATCTCTACCGTCTACAAACCTTTACGTTCAACAATTATCTAGCGTCTACAAACCTTTACGTTCAACAGTTATCCACCGTCTACAAACCTTTACGTTCAACAGATATCTACCGTCTACAAATATATAATCTCTACAGTTATCTACCGTCTACAAATATATAATCTCAACAGTTATCTACCGTCTACAAATATATAATCTCTACAATTATCTACCGTCTACAAATATATAATCTCTACAGTTATCTACCATCTACAAATATATAATCTCAACAATGATCTACCATCTACAAATATATAATCTCAACAGTTATCTACCGTCTACAAATATATAATCTCTACAGTTATCTACCGTCTACAAATATATAATCTCTACAGTTATCTACCGTCTACAAATATATAATCTCTACAGTTATCTACCGTCTACAAATATATAATCTCTACAGTTATCTACCGTCTACAAATATATAATCTCTACAGTTATCTACCGTCTACAAATATATAATCTCTACAGTTATCTACCGTCTACAAATATATAATCTCTACAGTTATCTACCGTCTACAAATATATAATCTCTACAGTTATCTACCGTCTACAAATATATAATCTCTACAGTTATCTACCGTCTACAAATATATAATCTCTACAGTTATCTACCGTCTACAAATATATAATCTCTACAGTTATCTACCGTCTACAAATATATAATCTCTACAGTTATCTACCGTCTACAAATATATAATCTCTACAGTTATCTACCGTCTACAAATATATAATCTCTACAGTTATCTACCGTCTACAAATATATAATCTCTACAGTTATCTACCGTCTACAAATATATAATCTCTACAGTTATCTACCGTCTACAAATATATAATCTCTACAGTTATCTACCGTCTACAAATATATAATCTCTACAGTTATCTACCGTCTACAAATATATAATCTCTACAGTTATCTACCGTCTACAAATATATAATCTCTACAGTTATCTACCGTCTACAAATATATAATCTCTACAGTTATCTACCGTCTACAAATATATAATCTCTACAGTTATCTACCGTCTACAAATATATAATCTCTACAGTTATCTACCGTCTACAAATATATAATCTCTACAGTTATCTACCGTCTACAAATATATAATCTCTACAGTTATCTACCGTCTACAAATATATAATCTCTACAGTTATCTACCGTCTACAAATATATAATCTCTACAGTTATCTACCGTCTACAAATATATAATCTCTACAGTTATCTACCGTCTACAAATATATAATCTCTACAGTTATCTACCGTCTACAAATATATAATCTCTACAGTTATCTACCGTCTACAAATATATAATCTCTACAGTTATCTACCGTCTACAAATATATAATCTCTACAGTTATCTACCGTCTACAAATATATAATCTCTACAGTTATCTACCGTCTACAAATATATAATCTCTACAGTTATCTACCGTCTACAAATATATAATCTCTACAGTTATCTACCGTCTACAAATATATAATCTCTACAGTTATCTACCGTCTACAAATATATAATCTCTACAGTTATCTACCGTCTACAAATATATAATCTCTACAGTTATCTACCGTCTACAAATATATAATCTCTACAGTTATCTACCGTCTACAAATATATAATCTCTACAGTTATCTACCGTCTACAAATATATAATCTCTACAGTTATCTACCGTCTACAAATATATAATCTCTACAGTTATCTACCGTCTACAAATATATAATCTCTACAGTTATCTACCGTCTACAAATATATAATCTCTACAGTTATCTACCGTCTACAAATATATAATCTCTACAGTTATCTACCGTCTACAAATATATAATCTCTACAGTTATCTACCGTCTACAAATATATAATCTCTACAGTTATCTACCGTCTACAAATATATAATCTCTACAGTTATCTACCGTCTACAAATATATAATCTCTACAGTTATCTACCGTCTACAAATATATAATCTCTACAGTTATCTACCGTCTACAAATATATAATCTCTACAGTTATCTACCGTCTACAAATATATAATCTCTACAGTTATCTACCGTCTACAAATATATAATCTCTACAGTTATCTACCGTCTACAAATATATAATCTCTACAGTTATCTACCGTCTACAAATATATAATCTCTACAGTTATCTACCGTCTACAAATATATAATCTCTACAGTTATCTACCGTCTACAAATATATAATCTCTACAGTTATCTACCGTCTACAAATATATAATCTCTACAGTTATCTACCGTCTACAAATATATAATCTCTACAGTTATCTACCGTCTACAAATATATAATCTCTACAGTTATCTACCGTCTACAAATATATAATCTCTACAGTTATCTACCGTCTACAAATATATAATCTCTACAGTTATCTACCGTCTACAAATATATAATCTCTACAGTTATCTACCGTCTACAAATATATAATCTCTACAGTTATCTACCGTCTACAAATATATAATCTCTACAGTTATCTACCGTCTACAAATATATAATCTCTACAGTTATCTACCGTCTACAAATATATAATCTCTACAGTTATCTACCGTCTACAAATATATAATCTCTACAGTTATCTACCGTCTACAAATATATAATCTCTACAGTTATCTACCGTCTACAAATATATAATCTCTACAGTTATCTACCGTCTACAAATATATAATCTCTACAGTTATCTACCGTCTACAAATATATAATCTCTACAGTTATCTACCGTCTACAAATATATAATCTCTACAGTTATCTACCGTCTACAAATATATAATCTCTACAGTTATCTACCGTCTACAAATATATAATCTCTACAGTTATCTACCGTCTACAAATATATAATCTCTACAGTTATCTACCGTCTACAAATATATAATCTCTACAGTTATCTACCGTCTACAAATATATAATCTCTACAGTTATCTACCGTCTACAAATATATAATCTCTACAGTTATCTACCGTCTACAAATATATAATCTCTACAGTTATCTACCGTCTACAAATATATAATCTCTACAGTTATCTACCGTCTACAAATATATAATCTCTACAGTTATCTACCGTCTACAAATATATAATCTCTACAGTTATCTACCGTCTACAAATATATAATCTCTACAGTTATCTACCGTCTACAAATATATAATCTCTACAGTTATCTACCGTCTACAAATATATAATCTCTACAGTTATCTACCGTCTACAAATATATAATCTCTACAGTTATCTACCGTCTACAAATATATAATCTCTACAGTTATCTACCGTCTACAAATATATAATCTCTACAGTTATCTACCGTCTACAAATATATAATCTCTACAGTTATCTACCGTCTACAAATATATAATCTCTACAGTTATCTACCGTCTACAAATATATAATCTCTACAGTTATCTACCGTCTACAAATATATAATCTCTACAGTTATCTACCGTCTACAAATATATAATCTCTACAGTTATCTACCGTCTACAAATATATAATCTCTACAGTTATCTACCGTCTACAAATATATAATCTCTACAGTTATCTACCGTCTACAAATATATAATCTCTACAGTTATCTACCGTCTACAAATATATAATCTCTACAGTTATCTACCGTCTACAAATATATAATCTCTACAGTTATCTACCGTCTACAAATATATAATCTCTACAGTTATCTACCGTCTACAAATATATAATCTCTACAGTTATCTACCGTCTACAAATATATAATCTCTACAGTTATCTACCGTCTACAAATATATAATCTCTACAGTTATCTACCGTCTACAAATATATAATCTCTACAGTTATCTACCGTCTACAAATATATAATCTCTACAGTTATCTACCGTCTACAAATATATAATCTCTACAGTTATCTACCGTCTACAAATATATAATCTCTACAGTTATCTACCGTCTACAAATATATAATCTCTACAGTTATCTACCGTCTACAAATATATAATCTCTACAGTTATCTACCGTCTACAAATATATAATCTCTACAGTTATCTACCGTCTACAAATATATAATCTCTACAGTTATCTACCGTCTACAAATATATAATCTCTACAGTTATCTACCGTCTACAAATATATAATCTCTACAGTTATCTACCGTCTACAAATATATAATCTCTACAGTTATCTACCGTCTACAAATATATAATCTCTACAGTTATCTACCGTCTACAAATATATAATCTCTACAGTTATCTACCGTCTACAAATATATAATCTCTACAGTTATCTACCGTCTACAAATATATAATCTCTACAGTTATCTACCGTCTACAAATATATAATCTCTACAGTTATCTACCGTCTACAAATATATAATCTCTACAGTTATCTACCGTCTACAAATATATAATCTCTACAGTTATCTACCGTCTACAAATATATAATCTCTACAGTTATCTACCGTCTACAAATATATAATCTCTACAGTTATCTACCGTCTACAAATATATAATCTCTACAGTTATCTACCGTCTACAAATATATAATCTCTACAGTTATCTACCGTCTACAAATATATAATCTCTACAGTTATCTACCGTCTACAAATATATAATCTCTACAGTTATCTACCGTCTACAAATATATAATCTCTACAGTTATCTACCGTCTACAAATATATAATCTCTACAGTTATCTACCGTCTACAAATATATAATCTCTACAGTTATCTACCGTCTACAAATATATAATCTCTACAGTTATCTACCGTCTACAAATATATAATCTCTACAGTTATCTACCGTCTACAAATATATAATCTCTACAGTTATCTACCGTCTACAAATATATAATATCTACAGTTATCTACCGTCTACAAATATATAATCTCTACAAGACTGTCTACTTCTAATTTAACACATCTAAACTTTATAAAATATCCACCCTCTTCAAGTATCTACCTTCTTAAAATATACCCTCTTCCATTATCCCAATTGTACAAATATATACCTACTATAAAATAGAGGAGCAGGGAGAAAGGAATGTTAGAAGGGAGAGAGTTTGAAAACAGGGAAATAAGAGACAAAGAGATAAGTAGCATGGCATAGAGAGGCAGGAAAGCAGGAGGTCAGGATGTCAGGTAGGAAGGGATGGGAGGAGGAAGTCAGGCAGAAGGCAGACAGTGAAAGGGAAGACAGAGAGGTAACAGGAAAGCAGGAGGTCAGGAAGGCAGTTAGGTAGGGATGGGGGAAGTCAGGCAGGAGGCAGACAGGGAAAGGGAAGTTAGGAAATCAGGTAGTCAGACAGGCATGCAGGGAGGGAGGAAGGAAGTCGCACAGGAGGCAGGTAGGGACAGGGAAGGCAGGGGAGGAATAGGTCAACAGGAGGTCAGGTAGGCAGACAGAGAAAGGGAAGACAGAGAGGTAAGGAGAAAGTTGGGTAAAAGGCAGACAGGGAACATGACTGTAGGGAGGGAACAGGAAAGCAAAACATTGTCATTTAAATATATATTTTTCTTGGAAACGAGTCCACAAAGCAGTTTATGCATTTTTGTTAAAAGGAAATATCTTAAGCAGCATCCCATTGACATTAACACTATCGGTTTTGAATAAGTTTATTAACATATATACATTTCGTTTTTAGGGGAATCAACCATGGTTTCCATTGCTAGTACCACAGTTGGTATTGTGACGTCACCGACCTCAGCAATAACCGGATATCCTTTTACAAATGGAACGTCACCTACTTTCGTTATTTCTGAAAGAACCGGATCAACTACCGACCCGGTAAAACCGGATCCACCAGCAACAGGAACAGGTACTGACTGATACCAGGACACTTTCTGTAAAGCTTTTAAATTTCTCATAAAACTTTTACATGGTCTGGGAAAAAATCATGATATACAATCTTTGCGAATCTTTTGCTCTTTTAACATCAATTTCTGAAATCAAGACTGGAAAATAAAAGCATTGACCTTTTTTCCTTTGGCTGGTTACTTTACCCCAGTCTCATCGTTTCTGTGGGGCGCTTTCCCGTGAGGCTATACTTTGCATTACAGTATCATATTGTTTATTACTCTTACGCTGGTTTTGTATATTCAATAAACTAGCTTTAATACAAATTTATGTTGATTTGTATAAATTAAATTCTTATACTCCAAGGACAACTAATGCATCAAATCTACGGAACATTTTCTGATAGTATTGTCTTAGGAGGAAAGGAACCTTCACGTGAGGTTTTGGGCACACTACCTCCCACGACAGCACTGTTTGCTCGGTAACGACCATGATAAAATAAATTTCATTTCAACTGCTTCATAGATTACGCTAAAAAATGACGTAATAATATTGGTAATATGATGACATCACAATAACGACGTTATCAAAACAGACCATACGTAATCAACATATTTAAAATCGATTCTCAAAATTTTCGTTTGAAAAGAGAGTTATAATGGATTTGCATAAGAACAATAGAGTAACAGTTATCAGAATTATATTAATAATGGATTTTAAACCCTGCGAATTTCCTTCGTTAACATAGCTTACATAAGATTAATAAGTATTACAGTTTTAAACCCCACGAGTTGTTTCCGTAACGAGACCTGCCACCCGTGCATTTTTGTCGAGATAATTATATCGTTAAGTCGACTTCCTACGATAATAAAGTTGACTTATCTTGACAATTATTTCGCTGTTGTGATATTTAAATCGACTTGCCATAATTGCTGTAAGACCAGAGAAATAGAAAAGCTTAACTCTATACATGAGTGTTTTCCAACAATCGAAGTCTCATTCGCGATTGATTCAATAACCATTTATCTTGCTATTTGAAGAAAACAGTCAAGCAATCCTTCCATAGATATATACCTGCGTCTCACGTGAGAGGCATCCAATAACAATGGGGTTTAAGCACGTGCGGCAGGCCGCCTCTGTAAAATCGATTCTGCTGTAACTACCTTACACTAAACTCTTTACAAATGTGTCTCAATATCATGTTTTAAATAAATCTGATCAGATGAATTGATGCCGTGTCATATTGCTGCACCCGAAAAAAACAGTTTCCATATTAATATATGTAAATATATATTTTTCCACGTAGCGATACATACTCATGTTTACGTGTCACCAGTGTTAAAGGTCTCTACATCCTCGATAGTCATGCTCTCTGCACCCAATGTCATGGCAAAATAAAATGCCCCGTGTGCGCCACCTTGTGGATGAGACAAGAAACTAGTTTGATCTGTTGATGCATATCAACAGATTCCCGCGGTCGCTTGAAGGTAAATTAGACTGTCTTTGAAGTGGGGCGTCGCTCCTGTGTAATCTTGAAGGACAGGTATCAGCCTAGCGATTGGTCTGGATTGTTTTTACCATATACCAATCAAATAGCTAGCGCGCCTTCATTTTCGCTATGCTATACTCCAGGGGTGCTGAGAGCGAAAGAGAGCGTAACCTCTGGAGTACCGAGGATGCGGATTTTAACAATAGCTGTCTGTAAACAAATCGCTAAATATCACCTCACGTAACCTGTAAAAACTCCCCCAATATTTGACGTATATATTTTGCCAGTAGTGTCGGGGGGGAAAAACCCAGATTTTGGAATGTTAGGGCCCGGTGCAAATATAATATAAAATCGATATGTAGTTCACCATTTGACGTATTGATTATTGGAGATATCAGCTTGATCGTTGGTTCTGGATGAGTTATATCAATAGATGAATTTTTCACTTCAGATTTGTGGCCATATATTGGTGGAGGGGCCGGGTTTTTCATTGTGGTAATCATCATCCTGACTATCGTTATCATCCGCTTAACCAGGTATGTTTACTAGGGCTGCAACGATATATCGCGATATTTTGAATATGGTACGATACACAATATTGTTTGGGAGGTTACATACACCTACGATATTATCAGGATTCCGTCGTTTCTGAATTTAGTCTACTCACGTCCGTTCCACCATGGCGAGTGACAGCTCCAACTCGGCATGCACGTCGACAGTCTCATTATACTATCACCGGACGATTTTGTGTTACCACTAGGGTCTGACTTCTTATTACTTGGGACCCTAGGTAACTTGGGAACTTTGGGTTACAAATGATGACACATTATGTCAGTTCCACTTCCTTTATTCTAGTCCAACTTCATATCTTATACATGGAAACTTAATTGTTCAATCCGTTCCCTTCTGTTTCCATCTCCATTCTTTCTCCTTTAGTTCTCTTCAGTCTCACTTCCCAAGATCTCTCTGTAATTCTATCTCTGTCTATCTCTGACTCTGTCCTTGGACTCTCTCCTTCAGCTCTCTCCTTCTACCCTCTCCTTCTACTCTCTCCTTCTACTCTATCAACCTTAGATATCTACCTATTATAAAGACAATCTAACTCTACTACTACTTAACTAAATCTTCTAATTACATTGGCTAATTCCATCCCTAGGAGGCGGGGCTACATTTCTCTTTTAGAAGTCTTTTGATGACCATTTCCCTGTCTAAGGACCAAGATTAAACTTATCAATGCATTATACTAAATGGACCTTACATCCACACACCATTGTCCTCCAACCCTTCACACAGACATTCCCACACACTCCATTCCCTTTGAGTTCCAACCACCATGTGTGTCCTGGTCATCTCCTTTGTTATCAATTACAATCTCTTTTTAATTGCCTTCTTCTTACTCTTCTGAAATTACTCAATACCATTTTTCATCTGTCATATATACTATCGTTCTACTTTCACACGATAGTAGAACGATATTATAATGAGGAGCTGTATTTTAATCAGATTGGCACGTCGAAAGAAGTGAATTGTATGATACTTTAAAGTCAGGCCCATTTTGGACCAAGTCTATTTCCTGTTGTGATATTACCATTAATAATTTGAAACATATTCTTTCGTTTTGCTCCTACTGTTACTATATGTATTGAGATCATACGTATCGTATCGTGACCACAGTATCGTGATACGTATCGTATCGTCATGTTAATATATCGTTGCAGACCTAATGGTTACTTTGTAATTCACAAAACCTGATTTGCATTAACACATACTTTTAAAGTGAATTATAATCTGGTTATTGTATCCAGTGGCTTTGGACATAGTTCTGAAAGCGAACAAATGTTATAGGGTAAGGTATATATGATATATCGTTATAGGGTAAGATATATATGATATATCGTTATAGAGTAAAGTATATATGATCTATCGTTATAGGGTAAGGTATATATGATATATCGTTATAGGGTATGGTATATATGATATATCGTTATAGGGTAAGGTATATATGATATATCGTTATAGGGTAAGGTATATATGATATATCGTTAAAGGGTAAGGTATATATGATATATCGTTATAGCGTAAGGTATATA